TATATATATATATATATATATATATATATATATATATACACACATGTAAATAAACAACCCAGTGACAGTCTGCAGTGCCAGCAAAACATTATGTCATGCATGCTGTTGACTTTAGATTTGTGAATATTTACATATTTACAATTACATTGCAATGTTAAAAAAATTGTAATTACATTAAACATAATCCAAGTTGGGCAGCACGGTGGCACAACTGGTAGAGCTGCTGCCTCTAAGCAAGCAGGTCCTCGGTTCAAATCCCGGTCCGGAGGCCTTTCTGGGTGGAGTTTGCATGTTCTCTCCGTGCATGCATGGGTTTTCTCCGGGTGCTCCGGTTTCCTCCCACAGACCAAAAACATGCATGTTAGGCTGATTGGTAACTCTAAACCATCCCTTGGTGTGAGTGAGAGAGTGAATGGTTGTTTGTCTCTATGTGTCCCTGTGATGGACTGGAGACCTGTCCAGGGTGTCCCCCGCCCCTCGCACATTGATTGCTGGACATGGGCACCGGCGACCTCCGTGACCCAAAATGGAAGAAGTGGGTAAAAGATAATGGATGGATGGTATAATTTATCGGCCAAATAAGTTTTAACATATCAGCATAACGGATATCGGCCCAAAATCTAATATTGTGCATCCCTAACATAAAATGTAAAATGTAAACTCTAGGAATAAAGCTCATTATTTAAAAGCTTTAAGGTGTTCAGTTTAGTTTAGAAACTGCGGTAGAAAAACCTGTAGTGACACGATAAGAACACAGGCCCGGAACAAACCATGTCTGGCGTGACCTCACAGAAATCTCACTTCTGGCGTGGCTAAAGGTCACATGCCCACAAGTAGAGTCTTTTCTTTCTCCTCTTCACTTCTTCTAACGTGAAGTTCCACGTTCATCACCGTCTCTTGCGTTCCTGCTTCATTTCCACCTGCCCGTTGTTGTTAACGCCATCCACTTTGAGGTGAGCCTTGCTGTAGTGTTTGATCAGCGCTCCGGGCAGCAGAGCCATGAGGGCGATGGCCAGAAGCTGAGCCAGCGTCCCCCAGGAGAAGATGTCATCCAGGGAGGAGATCTGGGTCAGGATGGAGCCCGTACGAACACAGATGAAGTTGTACGGGATCAACCCTGAAAGGAGGGAGAATCGAGGAGTGATCAGTTTGTGACCGTTTGTTTATGCTTCTTTTTATTCTCATGTGAGCTCACCTATTAACACAGAGAAGAAGAAAATGGATATAGGGATGTTGAGGACAGGACAGGTGATGTTAAGGAACCAGTTAGGAGTCATGGGGAAGAAACGAAGGAAAAGGAGGAAGAAGAATAAGCTGTTTTGATTCTCCTCCACCTGACAGGGAGGAAAAACAAAGAATACAGAAGGAAAGAGCTGAGAGTGGAAATGAAATAAATGGAGTTAGCAGGGGATTTAAACTTAAACACAACACAGATACTGTGATGCAAAGAGAGTTTAGTAAACAAAAGTGTGTAAAAAATATTAATTTATGACTTTTAACAAGCAGTTATTACTTCCCAACCTTTATTACTATTACACTTATACAGCTAATTTAAGGCTTATTGTAGGGAATAATTATTGTAGGGATTCATTATTGTAGGCTTATTTAAGGCATAGTTATTTGAGAAACTGCTATAAAAATTAAAGTTGCTGTAGCAAAAATGAACAAACTTTATCAACATCTACACCAGCATATCTACACCAGGGTTATTCAACAGAGAAGGGGTTCTCTGCAGACCAAAAGTGGGAGTTTCTGGAGAATAGAGGACAAACACTGATTGGCTAGCTGTATTTGCTGCTCTAGTTACGTCAGCTCTTTTATTAAAACTGAATGTTTCTAAGAACCAGCGTTATATCTGCTGTCAAACACAAGAAGATTTTCTTTAGTTCTTGGCTTGTAAGCTGCACCTGACACAGGTTGACTTGAGTGTGGTCTGGGTACAATGAAATATGAAGCATCTGAAGTGAAACCTGCTCCCATTTGTCAAAAAGTCTGACCTCAATTAAAGATCATGAGTTCTATAACGAGATAACGGCCCAAAACAAAAGTTAAAAACAAAATCTGCTCTTTAGAAGTTCTTCTAAGAGCTCTGATCTATGAAAGGAGCTGAAACATGGAGTAGGATTGACCCTTAAAATGTGAGACAGCTGAGGAAGGTAACCAGTAAACAGAAATACCTGCTCCAGTTGCAGAAATCTGACAGAAACTGACAATCACTCATCTACAGTGACTGATTTAAAATGTTGAACAAGAAAATGTGAAGTTAAAGGAAACATCTTTTGTCCCAGAGCCAGTTTAAGTATTATTTATTATTTTGGTTACTTTATTTTTCTTTCTTTATGAATCGATTGTAACTATTTTCACATTATTCCACAACCAAAACAGATTTTGTTTTTTAATGTAATGGCAAGGTATTAAAAAACAAATATTTAGCTCTCCCCTCTACCCAGTTATGTTGCTTTTATTTTGAAATGTAACCAGAAATTCTGTGTTGAGAGAGGCAGAAAGAGAAGTTATGGAGACGCCGCCAATGTTGAACCGGTTAACACCACAGACATAATATGTCTGTGGTTAACACAATCTGCCAATAACGCCTTTTTTTTCCGTCCAATCAGATGTGGCCCTCCAGATACGCCTTACATATTTGTCTGAAGAGATACCTATTTGTGTCGGCCCACGGGCCGACTTCCATCCGGCCTGCTTCATTAAAAAATTATTTTGGATCAGGGTTTGGGTTCTGTTTATTGCATTTATGAGTCAATGCAATAAAATAATGAAATGTACAAGGTAACAGATCATTGTAAACTTTGGTTTATGATTTTAATTGCTGGATGTCCGGCCCCCGAGCTGTTTGCTTTCAGAAACTGCCGCCCCCTGAGCAGTTTTGTTGAATAGCCCTGATCTACACTGTTTGGTAATGAAGTATCTATTACATGCAACAAATGATTAATCAGTGTAATCATACTCAAACATGGAAAGTTACAAAAAAAAGCACAACCAATACAAATGAACATTCCTGTTCTATAAACAGGAAGTATTGCACAACAGTAGCTACCTTCTTCTGCAGCAGGGCCACCTTCTCTGGAAAGAAATGAACCACATATTGTCTCCCAAATGCTGAAGACAGCAGGTAGCAAAACGTGGAGCCAAAAGTAGCGAGCAGGCAGGCCAAAACCAGACCCTCCCAAGGCCCAAAGATGGCACCAGCCAACATGTTCTGCAGGAAATGAATTATTACTGATGAAATGATGATGCACTTAGGAAGCATTAGATCTGATTATAGTGAACAAAGACTCTGGTGTAAGGACCACAGGTTGAGCTCACCAGGAAGGAGGAGCCAGGGATGGCGAAGGACTGTTTGTAAAGGTACGCGCTGCAGAACAGCAGCAGAACGTAGCTGTAGTTTTCTCGCTTGTAAAATTTGAGCATCTCTGCGAGTTCTTGCAGAGACTCCAGGTCTGACGGGAACTTCAGCCTGCGTGAAGAAAGACAGAACACAGCCGAGTGCCAAAAGGTTTAAAGACTGCTTCTTATGATATCAAGTTTGTCTGCTGTCAAATTATCTTAATCTAACTACGTGTTAGCCTTTTGCTACTTTACCTATGTCTTGATACAAAAAAGGTTAGATGACATGATTTAACCTTTTATGTTGTGTAGATGAACAGATGCTCAGATATATTCATCAATTAACGCGGATTCCTCATTTTTCTGAACTGAATAAAACGTGCATTGAATTTAATGAAATGCAAACGTGAGACGTCATTTATGTTTGACCCATCAAAATGAATGCGGTCATTTATTTACAGAATCAAAGTTTAACATCAAACATTTACATTAATTTGGCAAATTATGAAAATAACAATATAAGCAATCAATCAGGAAAAATCATACGGCCATGATTTTTCCGTTGCTTCACCACAGACATTTATGAAAACTGTACAATTATGATCTTTTACCCACACGGATGTGGATGAGCACTTTACACAGACATTTCTAAAATATCTGGAAGAATTTCTACTTGAGAGGAAAGTTTAAAGATGGGGAAGAAGTTAAAAGAAGAGTAAAATGGGGTTTGAGGGAGTGTTGACAGAACGGCACTCTCTGGGCTTTCTTCAGCTTTTCCTTACAGTACACTTAGGTGGTGAAATCGACTCTTTTACCTGGAGATGTCTCAGGCGAGATTCCGTTTAACGCACCCATTCAGCGTCTCCGTAGGATGCTGTTACTCCTCCGGAGTAGCGGCGAGACTGTCCGACACAAGCTCACCTCAGTGGAAAATGTTATAATCCCATGAACCTCGGAAGAGCTCTGTTGTCATGTCAGGATCTTCCCGGCCCCCAGAACTGGGCTTCTCTCACAGAACTGGTTGAACTGTGTATCCAGCAGAACTCCAACAGCACTCCATCAGAACTGAACAGAACTGTCCCAGAACTGTTCCAGCACTCTTCCAGCTCACCGTAGACCAGGAAGTACCGACATTTTAAAGAGCTCTTTCCCGGTTCATCTGGGAGTATTCCCATTGGCCAGAACCGACCAGACGGGGTGTGTTTTGTGACGTAAAAGGTTAGAATGCAGCAAGAATTGTTATGGAAAGATCAGAAATGTTCTCACAGACAGAGAGAGTTTTGTTTTGGCGCGTTTCAGAAACAGGTGCCAAAACCTCTATATTTACGTCTGAGAGGATTCTAAAAACATGACAGTTCGTTCCAACAACTTGTTTGCGTTTGACTCCAACCTTGGACCAACTTACACTTGCTCATTCAAAGGCAGAAATCAGAAAATGCATAAAAATCTGTAACAGACCTCAACATGAATTCTAACTTTGCATGAGAATTTAAAAATCATTACACAGTTAATAAAATTGATTAGTTCACTGCAACATCTAAAATGGTTTGAACTAAGACACTTTGATTATCAACATTTGTAAAATAGTAATGATAATAAAAAAG